AGATGCATTTGGCAGTGACTCTCCTATATGCATGCCCTATTGAAATAGCTGTTCTTCAAACATAAGCAGGCCATGTACTATCTTGCTACACTGTTGCTGAAGGCTCGAAAGTGGCAACATGAACAGCTTCCATGGCCCACTGTGTGTACTTGCACTATGTTAGGAACGGTGAGCCTCTGCTAAGCTTTTCAGAGAGGTAAGAATTTTGCATGCTGAGGAAGTCCTGTTTTTTTAGTTCCTGTACAGAATCCTTTTACCTAGAAATTTCCAACAAGTGGACAGTTTTCACTGAAGAACAGTTGTCTTAGTTTGGGCTGCAATGGCAAAGTGCCACACACTGTCTGCTTCATAAAACAACAAACATACTTCTCACCTTGGGTCTGAAACATCAGAGTCCATGAGGATCAACTCTGGTGAGAGCCACCTGACTTCGAGAATCTTCTTGGTGGGAAGAGGGTGAGAGAGCTCTCTGGAGCCCCCTTTGAAAGTTACTGATCACAGTGACAAAGGTACCATACTGTGTTCCTAAAGGACCTGTCTCCTAATACTGTCATCTTGAGGGTGAGGGGTTGAATTCCCGGGAGTAGGGCACATCCACCATTCAGATTTTGATGTCAGTTTTCAAGCTCGTATTTAATGCCTGGGAGGCTCTGAAAGTGAACCTGCCCTGAAGCCTAAGTGGGGGAGAAGATAAAATAGTCTTGTTCTGTAAGTTGAAGCTGTAAATCTTGGCTGGGAGTGAGCAGGAGAGGGCGATGATAGGCATGGACCTTGAAAGAAAGTAACTAGGTTTTGTATACAAAGTATCTGCTTGTACTTCCTTTCTGTACAGCTTAAGAATGAGGAGAAAGGCCTATTTGAAGGGCTTGACTCTCGGGGATTTGTGAGTAAGTATTTCAAGGGTGGGGGACAGCAGTAGAGATATGGCTCAAGGTTAAAAGGTTAGAAGTTTGGGTTTGGTTCCCAGCACCCACATGGAGATAACTGTTCAAATCCCCAATTCCAAGGGATCACGCATGCTCTCTGGTTTCCCCAGGTCCTAGGCATATACAAGTGCTGCACAAGCAGGCTTGCAGGCTAAACACACATACATAAAATTGTTTGAAATTTCAAGTGGGGAAATGAGTGCATCTGGACCAGGAAAAGAGCAGTTAATAAGTTTTCCAGTTTGTGTCCTGTTGGCAGGAAATGTCCAGATTGGGCGCAAAGTTTGGAAAGAAGGCAAATGTCTGCTTTGTGTTTCCTGATAAAAGAGCTTGGGCTTGTGCTACCCAGGCCTCTGGGTGCAACACTGGCTGCCTTGCTTTTGCCAGAACAACCAAGGTGTGTGTGTGTGTGTGTGTGTTCCATATCCAGAGTTACTTCTGATTTCAGTCTAGATAGATGGAAAAGTAAAAAGATCTCAATCCTGTCTCCCAAGGACAAGGAGCAAGCAGTGCTGCTAGGGGCCTTCCAGGTACATTATGTTGCATTCTAGAATATTAATGATGCAGTGATGTTTCTGGCAGACAAAAGCAGCACAAGCTAGTAGGGAAAACTACCTTTATTGCCTATCTACAACTGGGGCTTTTCTAAACCTAAGGGTTTAGACTGACAGGCCACGAACGTAATTGGGAACTGGAACTGGCTGCGGGTGAACAAAGAGGAGGTCATTACAGCCCAACCAAGAGCCGAATTGTTTCCATCCCCCTCCCCCACTTGCATGCAAGGAGCAGAGTGGAGGAACTGGCTGCCTGTTAAACTGTACATTAGCCACGTCATCTGCCGTATGCACATGACCCAAGTGCTGCCTTTCGGGCTTTCTCCCGCCTGCTGAGGTTAAATCCAGTACTCTTTGCCCCAGAGTCCTGCTGAGCTGACCCTACTACAGCTACTTCACTCAGTAAGAATTCCTAGAAGGAAGCAAAGTCTGAAGGTCTGGAAAAGGGGATCACACTAAAGTGAAAAGCTAGAATTCCATGCCAGACCCTTAAGAATCCCACCTCTGGGAATCTCTGCCAAAGCCATAACAGTAGACAGCTCTTGGGAGACAAAGTATGGAATCTTAATTCTAGAGGGAGGTGCTTGCTGCCAAACCTGAAGACCTGAGTGTAATCCCTTGGACTCACGTGGTAGGAGAAAACCGACTCTTAGACGTTGTCCTTGGACTTGATCATATGTGTACTATGGCACTTACATGTCATGCCCCAAAATTAAAAAAAAAAAAATTAAAACCAGAGATGGCCCACAGCCTCCAGAGTCTCCATTACAGATTCAAAACACAGATACTGACCCTGGAAAGATGACTCAATGGTTAAGAGCACTTGCTGCTCTTCTTCGGTTTCAAGCACATATATCTTGCAGGGGATCCCTTGGTATCCCTATATGCATGTGGTACACATACCTATACTAGGCAAACACACATGAATAGCAATAAATCTTCACAACAGACAGATGCCAACATAAGTTATCGGATGCAAAAGCAAGAGAATGAACTGAAGTAGTCAATGTGTCATCAGAGTTCCATGCTGGGCGGTGGTGGCACACACATTTAATCCCAGCACTCAGGAGGCAGAGACAGGCAGGTTTTTGTGATTTTGAGACCAGCCTGCTCTACAAGACAGCCAGGGCTACACAGAGAAACCCTGTCAATAAATAAATAAATAAATAAATAAATAAATAAATAAATAAATAAATAGTGATGCCACATACAGCAGGTCAAAAATAATGCAAAGGAGAGAAAGGCTTTGGCATCTGTACTTGCTAGCTTTATGTCAATTTAACACAAGCTAGTCATCAGAGAGGAGGGAGCTTCAGAGAAAAAGGCTCCAAAAGACCCTCTGTAGGCAATCCTGTAGGAGCCGTGGTTCTCAACCTCCTTATTGCTGTGACCTCATGTTGTGGCCCCAACCAGAACATTATTTTGTTGCTACTTCATAACCAAAATTTTGCTACTGTTACGAACTGTAATTAAATATGCAACCCCTGGGGGGGGGGGTTCAAGGCCCACAAGTTGAGAATCACCTCTGTAGGGCATTTCTTGTTCTTAGGGATTAATTGGGGGGGGGGGCAGCCCATTGTGGGTGATGCCATCACTGGGCTGATAGTCCCGAGTTCTTTCAAGAACCAGACTGAGACAGTCATGAGGAACAAACCAGTCAGCAGCACCCTTCTATGCCCTCTGCATCAGCAAACATTTCCCCACCTCACGTAAGGAAAACCAGTGCATACCTGAAGATGGACTGGCAAAGGTAGAGAGGGGAGCAAGCAGAGACGACCTTTGCCCATCTTTCTATACTCCCTGTGCTCGGCCCTGAATACAAACAAGCTGAATACAAACAAGCAGGAAGTCGGCCTGTTGCTTTCCACGAGGTGTTTCTGGAGCTCTCATGATGAACATGCTAGTTAGCATGTAGCGGCAGCAGGAGGTGGCAGCTTCCGACCCAGCCTGACAAAAGGCTAGAGGCTGAGAGATACATTGTATCCTGGAAGTAGTTCCGAAAGACAGCTCCGGGAGCCAGCAAGATGGCTCACAGATAAAGTCACTTGCCAGGTATGTGTGACAATGTTCAGCTCCCAGAACCCAGAATCAGGTAGAGCAAAGTTGTCCTCTGACCTTTATACATGTACCAGAGGGCAAAACACTATGCAAAAGTAAAAACACCTGTGGGAATGAAGAATTTCTAAAGACTTTCTATTTCATATGACCATTGATTTCTTCTTCTTTTTTTTGGGGGGGGGCAAATGTTTAGGATGTAATATTTATTTTAGAAATTACGCTGGCTTAGTAAAGTGATGGCTTGTTGGCTCTCCTCTGAAAACCATGATGTCACTACACTGAACATCAGCTAGGTTCCCTCTTGCTGAGCGGGTCCAGTAAGAGAACTGATGGTTATTGCTCAGGCAGGCACAACATGACTGCACCTGAGGGTTATCGTGCCATGCTGGTCATTGTTGTGGTCTATCGGTGTCAGAGTAAGACTCTTGGTTGCTTACTTCCTTTGGAAACGTGAATGGTGTCTTCTGGTACCCTGAAATCTAGTGCTCAGGGAGGAGGCTCTCAGCTCAGTTCCAACTCGGGGTCTCTGGGCCTGGCGTGCACAGTGTGTGGTCACAAATGATCTGATGTGCAGGTGTTTCCAGCAATAGGGATTTATCTTCTGCCTCTAGGGGACAACGTAAAAACCATTTCTATCTTTACAAATAAAAATTACCTGCCACAATACAAGCCCATTTGTGCTCTGCATCCTTCATCTGTGCAGAGAAGAGTTTATGCACCTGTGGGAGCCACTAGCGATTTCTACCTGTGGCTCCAGCTGGTTTGAGACATGATCCATCATCAAACAGCTCAGGCTGGCCTGGAACCCGCTTGTAGTGGAGGATGACGTAGAACTTCTGAGCTTCCCGCCTGTTGGGCTTATTTATGTGCTGAGAAGGTACTCAACCACCCTGAGCTCAAGGGCATCAGTAAGCCTGCTTTAAAAACAAAGCAAAAAAAGCCAGGTGGTGGTGGTGCACACCTTTAATCCCTGTACTCAGGAGGCAGAGGCAGGTGGATCTCTGAGTTCGAAGCCAGGCTGGTCTACAGAGTGGGTTGAGGACAGTCAAGGCTATATACACTGAGAAACCTTGTCTTGAAAACAAAAACAAAAAATAAATAAATAAAAATAAAGCATCTCAACAATAGCGACACTCATTCAAGCTCTAAAAGAATGTCCATTATACTGAAACATTATAGCAATTTTACAAAATGAATCAAATCATGTGGTTTGAGAAAATGCTGACCAGGAGCATCATTTTAAAGAAATATTCCCAAGAAATACCACATTTTCAAAAACACTAAAAATACCATCCAACTGGCAACTTCATTCTAACTTGTAGTTTTGTAGGGTACATAGAAATTCTTATTCTAAGTATATGAACAATCAAAACCTGGTTCTCTTTAATCTTTTCTTTCTTCACTAGGCCACGCTAGTTTCTTCATGCCCAAAAATGACAAACTTGAACACTTTAAAGAAAGATGGTTTAAAAGTTTGCTAATCTTTATTCATGAACATAAGCAATTCAGCCATTAGCAGTGAGCACATTCTATGACGGTATACAGTCACTTACATTAAGATGACACAGTGTTTGATCGCTAACTAAGATAAAGTTTCATCTTCAGCTCTACATCAACCTTAATACTCTGGAGCTCTGCATCCATCTGGAGGTGAGAAGCAGACCAATCCGTTTTGAGGCTTGGGCGGGACACAGCTGCATGGCTTTATTTTACAGGCAAACCACAAAGTTTAAGTGGAATAACTGTCAAGAACAGTTTTTAATGGAGACCGAAAAAAAAAAAAACTGGGGGAGAAAGAGGTAGTAGCTACTGCTTAAGAAATAATTTTAATAGTTTGAAATCTTTGACCAAATCTTACTAGAAAAGGAGGTAATAACATCTGATAAAGATGAGAACAGTTCTCGGCGAGCTCTGGCTATGGACCAGCACGCTTTCCAGCTGCAGTTGCGGAGCTTCAGTAAGGACAAGCCAGCCCCTGCACCACAGCCCTCCACAGTGTTTATTGTGCGGGGGAAGCTGGAGACACTCTGTACTCACGACACCTCCGCTACAAATGCCTCCTAACCTTAGCTCACATCAGAGAATTCTGTTTGTAGTTCCTACCCAGCCTCCTATCATCATTATGTAGCATTTACAACACTGTGAACTGTTTTTAAAAGATGGTTGCCCTTTTCTTGAATCCCTGTTATCAGTAATACTTAGACAAACTTTTTTCAAATAGTAAAAACTAAGGCATAAATTAGCATTTTAAATCAAAGTACAGCTTTATCTATGGGACCTGGAGAGATCAAATAAAATGTACTCACAGGCTATGCCACTGGGAACAGAAAATGTTTTATATACACACACTTTTCCCTCAAACTTACATTGTAAAAAGTGACCAACTCACTATTGGGCAAATGCCAAAATGCTGCATTTTGTTGTCACACAAACTTTAAAAGTTAAAAAATTCAGACAAAAATAAAACCTTTGTTTATATAGCTGAAGGTTATGTAAAGCAGCTATAAAATCTTGTTTACTAGAACAAAGAGAGAGATCTCAAATAATGTTAGTCCCCAGGAAGCAGCAGAGAAACCTCCAGTCGTGCTGTGTTACATTCACTGTGTGTGTGCTGTGTGTACGTATGTGTGTAGTGTATGCATGCACATCTACCATATGTGTGTGTGTGGTGTATGCACATCTACCATATGTGTGTGTGTGTGCGTGTGTGGTGTATATATATCTACCATATGTGTGTGTGTGTGTGTGTGTGTGTGGTGCATGCACATCTACCATATGTGTGTGTGTGTGTGTGTGGTGTATGCACATCTACCATGTGTGTGTTTGTGTATGTGTGTGTGGTGTATGTGCTCAGCAATCTTTTTAGCCTCATCATTCCCAACCTTTGCTGCTCTAAAACACAACCTATTAAACTAAGACCAACATCGTATGACCTGGCATTGGTAAAGCACAGGCGGCCTTGGTGCTAACGAGGGGGACGCAGGTGTGGCAGACAGGCTACACTGTAGGAGCACTGAGACCTGACAGAGCTCACTGTGGCTGGGGAGAATTCCTATTTCAAGAAAAACGTGTCACTGACTATGAAACTTATTTATACGTCCTAAAGGTACACTAACAAGACCAGCAATGAAAAAGTTATGACTATGAAATACCACACTTTGTTCATAAAGTAACTGTCTTCAGGCTGACACAAACATATTTCAGTCTTCATAGTCAACTATACTATTGCGCCTATGCGTCATGTGTCACGAGCCCAGCAGGATAAACAGGCCTTCAGATGTCAGACTAGTAAAAATGGTGCTTCTCGGATTTAGCCAAACCAAACTAAGAAAATTCACAAATGTTTAAGGCAGTAGCTCTAAGAAATGTGTGATTAGTTTTTCTTGTTTATAACTGGTTTTTCTAAAGCGTTTCTTCCGGGCTCTAACCTTCTATTAATACAGCAAGTATACAATGACAGCACACACTAACAGTATCATTTCAGACACTCGCTAACATACCCTGGGGATGCTTCTTGGTTCTTCAAGCTGGGAATATTGCTCACTGACCCAACAAATATTTGCTTTTGTTTATGATGCAAATGATCTGGCTACAAACCAGCCACAGGATTACAGTAGGCTGTTAAAGCCACCTCTTTCCTCAGAATCCGTGAGTACTTTACCTGACTGCATAAAAACACAAAACAGGAGCTTCTAAAGCAAGCCACTGTTACTCAGTGTGCAATGGTTTGGAGTGGCCAAATCAAACTCTTACAGAGAGGAACCTCTGGTGAATCAAGAACTACACCAGTACAAGCTGCTCACCCTCCTCATCAAACTGAAATCAGCTCGTCCATGAAAACAAATTTCAAGACTTTTTTCATAAGGAGTGTAACAATCACATAACCAAGTGATGGCTCATGTGGCAGGCACTCTAAAGACACAGAGGCATGAGACGCATACAGTAACGCTTACAATAACTGAAAACAACAGAGTAAGCAGAGTGTGTCCTGGCCCCACAGGGATCACCACTGTCAGCATCACTAGTGAATTTCCACGGCAAGAGCCATGCACAACACCGTTCTCTGTTAAACATACACAGAGCTCCTATACACACACGCCACCACATGAAACACTGATTTTTACATCAAAGTGTGTTTTGGTAACAATTTTGCGCTGAAAAACAATAAATTATACTCATTATTGTATAAATTGTTGAAAAAAGTATTACAGATGTTTACAAAGAGTTACAGTAATACATAAAAATACATTGTTAAAATAAGATGAACAATGTATACCATAAAAATAGGTTTTATAACCAAGCAGTACGAACATTCCTGGGTTTCGGTCTTAGCAAAAAGCCACTGGATGCGTCCAACATTGATCGATCAGTCTTACAACTGAAGCCACTGGTTGCACTGGATGTCCTGGAAGCTCCTCCTGAACATACACAAAGATAAAACAGTCTCAATTATCTGAGCCAAGTACACAAGTCATCAGCTGATAAACCTTCTGTCCTCATTTTAGGTCCAAACTGGTGTCCTTCCTCCAGATGTGTCTAATACTCTCATGAGATGACTTTCAATAGAACTGTACTCTGAGATTCGTGGAGCTTAAAAGCTACTGAAGTGATTCAAGTGAAAACCAACACTTTGCATAATCATTTATATGTTTACTGACGGTTTTTTATGTTCAAGGCACAATACTAACTATCAGTTACTAGAATAAGGCTGTGTCTTAAGTTAACTAAAATAAACCATGTTTAAAAATGAGTGAGATGATCAGTCAATGACTCGTCACATAAGCACTGGGAACTCTCAGCACTACCGGGGTCCAATTTTCTTTAAAAATAGCTTAATTTTTTTAAGAGAAATACAGTTTCGAATATATACATGATGCCACAGCATCCACTTTGGTAAAGGAATGGTCTGACTTTCTGTTGTATACCCAGTACTAAAATTCCTACAGCTCTAGGGTACACAGCTGGCTCAGTCTCTAACTGATCACGTATCAAGCACTAAAATGAATTACAGCTGTAGCTTGTTGATTTTGTTTTAGCTATCTAGTAAGGACATGAAAGATGTATCTAAGGGTTATAAGGTATTAGTAACTGAGAGAATGTTTCAGCCACATTCATTAGCCTATCAATTTATTCTTTAAAAACACAAACTGAATTAAAAGACTTTTCCAGTGTCTGAGAAAACACTGCTATTTTCACTCATTTTATCTTTTGTTTTTCTTCTTATGCTGCCATTACATTCTGTACATGGAGCCTGAAATTCAATGAACTATAAGAACATGCCTGTGAAAACTAAAATGCATTCCAAAGTTAGCATTTTAAATCTCTATCATTAGAACACAAATCACACTTTTTATTTTAAAAAACTAAAAGACTCAAAAAATAAATAGAAAATAGCTTTGATAATCTTACTCAGTGGGCTATAATGGCCAAGAGTAGATCTCACTCGTCTAACGGATGGGGAAGGGTTGAGATAGCCCATATTTCGATGATAGTCCATCAGCTGCTCAGAGCGCTTCATGCCAACCGTTGGTTTCACAGCTTCAAGCCGTTTCAATAAAGCCTTCACAAAAATATGAAAGTTAATACTGTAATGATCTGTCCTGTCCCTTTAAAAGACACACCCTGCCCCCCCAACCTGGTTCCGCTTCCAGTCTGAGCTCCCTTCCCTTCTCTCTTTGGAAGAGGTGGCTGCTGCCATGCCTCCTCCCTCCCTTCCTCTCCCCCCTCTCCCCCTTCCCTTTCCTTCCATAACCCACTAAATAAATATTCAAGCTCTTTCTGCATGGCGTGCCTATATGTCTCTGTCTTTCACCTGCCGTGGTTCCTTGTGGGACAGGCTGCCCTGCCAAAGGTCAGCCGTGGTCTCCCCCGCCCCAGCCCTAAACCACCTGCAGTGTCCCAGTGTCCCAATGCCACCACTTGGGGAACAGTGCTGTTTTATTTTTACTATTACAAATCCTACATAAATACCAATAATTTCTAAGAGGTCAGATAGTCTATAACTTGAAATTCGCTAAGGAAAAAGTGTTTAGTTACTCCACATATACCAGAGATGTTCTGACCTGGGGTGAAGAATATATGGCCACCCCAAATATTTTTCCACAGACCCACAGAGAAGTATAATTTCCCCTCTTCAAGGGCAACAAAAAAAGACTTTACAGAAAACCACAAACAAAGAGTGCAGAGTTGTGAAGCCTAGGCCTAATAGATACATCTACAAAACAAAGCTCAGGGAACACTGATGAAGAGGGGTTGGCAAGACTGTAGGAGCCAGAAGATCAGGGCATTTGCAGTGAGACTGTCTCCCAGCAATGTCCACTACACACGTAGATAGAGCCTCAACAAGAACAATAAATATACCAGAGTGGACAGAAAAAGTCCTCAAGGACTACAATCGAGAGGACGACTAGAGAGCAGTGGAAACTGGGAGCCTGGGCCTATAGGACTAAGCGGGCTGCTGTGAGCACCCTCTAAGAAAGCTCTATCTTGCCCCTAGCCTCCTCTTCTGGCTGTCATGAAATAAGCAGCTTCCCTCCACCATGCCCTTCTATCATCATGTGTCTACCTGTCCTAAGTCCAAAAGCTGTAGTGTGAGTCAGTAATCCTTTCCTCTCCTAATTGTTAACCTCAGACATTGTCATAGCAGCCCACAGACAGCCATCACAGACCTGCCAGTCTTTGGAAAGGGACTACAAGAGCAAATACAGGAAACTTGATTTCCTCGTATTAATGTCAGGCATAGGAGTTATTATGCTAACAGTCCAAAGGTAAACCTTTGAAATCACCACCAATTATCAAAGTTATGACAAGTTCTACCTCTATACACTAGAGAGCAGAAGTGTTGACTGCAGCCATGCCTCACACAGAACACAAGGAAAGGCTGTGTGAGCACTGACCTCAAGCCCCATCCATACTTTCAATTTCGACTGCCTAGTTGTTTTCTGTACTGGAACTCCCTCCTGCTACTATCCTATGTTTCTGTTTTATTATTTTTACTTGTGTCTTCGTTCTCGTTACTGTTTTTCTACTCCCCATGCCCCTGCCCTGGTAAGTGGTATTTTTGTCGAAGCTGGTCTCCAACAGAACTGATTCACAGTTCTGTTTTACTCGTTCCTTAAAACATACGGCCCTTTCTGGTGCAAACTGATTTTTATCTTAAGAGTCTGTAGATAGCACTAAGACAAGTTTTCTTCCCAATCATTTTCTCTCCAGCTTAAGCACACCACTCAATGTGTAGCATTTTACAGCGTCACTGTTGTGAATCACTGTAACACCCTTTCCAGACACTTCCTCAGCCTAGTGCTTTGCTCACAGCAGTTCCCCTTCCGCCCTCTGATTCCAAGGTTCCATCACCAACCAGCATCGTCAACATTTCTTTTTTTTTAAATACTTATTTATTTATTATGTATACAATATTCTGTCTGTGTGTATGCCTGCAGGCCAGAAGACGGCACCAGACCTCATTACAGATGGTTGTGAGCCACCATGTGGTTGCCGGGAATTGAACTCAGGACCTTTGGAAGAGCAGGCAATGCTCTTAACCACTGAGCCATCTCTCCAGCATCGTCAACATTTCTGAGCCATTCTCAAGAAGGCATAACCGGTAATTGTAGGACCCAGCCATGACAAGCTCAACCGAGGCCTGAGTCTCAGTAGTTTACCCTAAGGAAATACCTGGTTCCAATTAAGACCACAAACTGAGACCACCCAGGCATCACCCAGGAACAGACCATTCAAAGGAAATTCCTAATGTTCCAACTATTGTAGATAGGATCACCTGCCAGCACACAGCCACTGCTTTTTATACTAGGACACTCCTAGACAAATGTCAGCCAATCAGGGGTCCTGAACCTTAGAAATCCCTCACTCCCACCTTTGCTACTACAAAAACTCAACCCCAACTGAGCTGGGGCTCTCTGACCACTCCAATACAATAGACACATAGAGAATCCGAGTTTGTAAACTTGTATAAGAATTTTACATACAGGACTGGGTCTCTTGGTTAATTTTGGGAGGACTCTGTGATCTGGGCATAACAATAATAAACTAAGCCAAAATATTCAGGGGAAGCATTGTTCAGAGAAGAGAGGAACAAAGTACGGTTAGAAATCCAAGCGTGTGACTGACACATCAAGTAGATATAACCACAACTTCACTGCTGTCAGCCGGGGGGGGGGGGGGGGGACCTCTGTTCCCTTCAGAAGCCAGAAGCTACAATTAGTTCTCGTTGCGCTCAGTTAGGCTATGGCTCTGTTCCATCTGAATGTAGTTTCTATACACTTTCTAAAATTACACAGCATCTTTCTTTGTAGACAGAAGAGCTGCACAATAGCTGCCAAATTCTCCTAAAATGATGTTCTTGCACAACAAAATTCGTAGGCATTATGTTTTCAAAGCATTTTACTGGAAAAGATAAATTTCTAATAATCTTGACATTTTCAGTTAATCTGCTAATATTGTATGTGTACATATATATGTGTGTATTTTTTCTTCCTTTTTTTCTAGCACAGAAACAATGTTGGTTGGGAGATATAGCTCAGCCTGAGTCCTTTGCAGCAGAGTCAACTGTTTTTTGTTTTGTTTTGTTTTCGAGACAGGGTTTCTCTGTAGTTTTGGAGCCTGTCCTGGAACTAGCTCTTGTAGACCAGGCTGGCCTCAAACTCACAGAGATCCACCTGCCTGTGCCTAGTGCTGGAATTAAAAGCTTGCACCACCACTGCCTGGCTTCAATTGTTCTTAACTTCTAAATTTAGCATGTACAAAAAACCTGAAGCTAGGACTGCTGGGGATTCATTAGACCATGTATGGAGAAAATAGTAATGTTTACAAAATTTCACCTAGTTGGATGAATTCTTTAAATCTTAAGAAAACTTCAGTGCTTATCTACCAGAGGTAAAACACTATAAAAATGATGAATATTAAAATTTAAAATAATTTTCCAATAAAGTTTTAAAAAGCCTCATAAAACTACAACTCCTTCTGTACTCTGATAGGCCACTTATGCAGAAACTTAGGGAAATGAGAGAAAACATACAACTTTCCAAATCACATGAAACTTTAAAAAAATGTTACAACACTGTAACGGAGTGACAAAAAGATATAAGCATCTAAAAGACTTGAAAGAGTGGAGGAGGGGAAGAAGTACCGGGTACTAAAATAAACTTAAGTAGGAGGGTAAGTTCTAGTGTTCTATATGACAGTAGGAGGTCTATCACTTATAAAAGTTTTTTTAGAGAACTGGAAGAGAGTTTGGAGGCCTAGATTACAAAGAAATTTCTTTAAAGAGAACGAAATTCTACTTATTCTAATTTAATCATTCTGTACTCTATGCATAATTACATGCTAACAGTTACCTGCAACGAGACTGGGGGCTTACAGTGTAGTGTAGGCACTGACTGTTTCTTAGTCAAACTATTTGGTAGGCATGTTAGGGCCAGAATAAAAGTGAAATAACATACAGCACCCATAACAGTACCCATACACTACTTGAAATCTAATGTAAGACTTTTGTTAGCATTAACATTCCTTTGTACAGTTTTCTAATTGCCTGACATACAAGAATATAACATCTTCAGGCTAGGTTATAAATTACATAACAGCCAGCAGTATTTCACATTTTTCTACTGCTTTATAGAAAAGACATTACTACTGTTTAATAATCAAAATGATAGGAATAGTTCTTTAAAAGCTAAATTATGGGTTAAGACGGCCATTCAAACCAGACTCCATGAATGAAGTTCAAAATAATTTCTCCAAAACTTTTCTTGAGAAAGTTGTATTTTTTTTTAAAATTTTTTTTTATGGTTTATTTAGCTTTATTTTATGTGCATTGGTGTGAAGGTGTCAGATCCCCTGGAACTGGATCTTCAGACAGTTGTGAGCTGCCATGTGGGTGCTGGGAATTGAACCCGGGTCCTCGGGAAGAACAGTCAGTTCTCTTAATGCTGAGCCACCTCTCCAGCAAAGTTGTATTTTTTTTAAAATTACATCTATCAAGGCAAATGGTGTTTTCTTATATATACACATTATAAAATGAATAGTTACACTAGTCAACACACCAGCTCACAGTAACCATTTGTGTGTGAAAATTATAGTCTACTACACTGTCTACCAGGTTTCAGGTATGCAAGCTAAGAAAGTTCTGGAGACCTACTGTAAGTAGTGACAGGTGGTACTTCTGCTTTATGTTTGTCTAAATATTTCCTTTATATACTTCTCAGGAAGTACTCTTGAAAAAAATGAACTCACTCCTCTTTTGGTACCAATGGTGAATGAATGCTAACAATCCAGCAGATACAGCGGAGAATCACTCATTGTTTTCAAAGTGGTGAGGCAGACTCTAAAAGGTCATTTAAAAAGTATCCAAAAAAGCCAGGCGGTGGTGGCACACGCCTTTAATCCCAGCACTCAGGAGGCAGAGGCAGGCGGATCTCTGTGAGTTCGAGACCAGCCTGGTCTACAGAGCTNCATGGCCTATGAACAGCTTTCTGTCTACCACGGAAGGATAAGGGGTAAAGCTCTAGTGAGCAAACACATTATAGAAGAGTATGTGTATCTGATTCCAGGGTACCATGTGCTGAAACTGTATAGTGATTTAACTAATCAGGAAACTAGGAAATTTTTAGTATTTTCTTTTTCGTTGTTTTGTTTTTTGAGACAGGGGTTCTCTGTGCAGCACCAGCTGTCCTGGAACTTGCTCTGTAAGCCAGGCTGCCTTGAGCTCACTGAGACTTGTCAATTTTTACCTCCTGCAGTATTTTCCTTAGTACACGCTAAGAGACAGACATGGTTAACTTCTAGACTCGCAAATTACCACAGTTTATGCATGTGTAATCTATGCCTGCATTTATGTAAATAAACTTGAAAAGTTGGCTATAATTTTCTGTTCGTTGTACTTACAAGTCAGTACAAATGCAATTGTTCTGATGACTAAAAGATGTGTTACTTACCAAATTTTCTCTTTCAATCCTTTGTTGTTCCCTCTGTCTGTTGAGAGCACTATGATATAACTTAGGGGGATGGCCAATCGATCTTCCGGGAATTGTACTTTTGCTTCCTGGTTTTTCAGCCTGTCTTGATAATTCTTTCAGAAGCCTCTGATTTTCCCGATCAATCTGTCTCACCTCTTCTCTTGTGAAAGAGTAGTTTTTCCTAGGCATTACAGAAGGCTGCTCAAAGTGATGTTTTTGTGGTCCCTTTTTATCTAACTGCAGAAAAGCTGCAGAAGTAAACAAAAAAAGTGAAAGTGGCTAAGCAAAGTAGCTATGATGGCACATACTTTAATTCTTAAAAGTATAATCTAAGTTAACAGAAGGTATGAAATGAGCTAATGGTTTATTTGTGTAGCGTAGAGTTCTATGTTCTAACTGTGGGCATAAGCTGGTGCACACCAGAGTACTGAAGGTAGACACCACACGATGCCAGCTCCTAAGCAGCTGATTCACACAAGCTATTCTTGCCACACCAGCTTTAACAGCTAGGGACTTTAGGAGCCTCTGCACTGTGTGCTCTGATACAATAATTTAGGTACTCTTTTGGTAATGGGAGGACAGAATTTTACAGTAACAACAGATGTTCTTGGCAATGACTGAGGGAAACAATGGCAAAAATTCAGACCAGTCTAGAATTAACAGCTTAATCTGAAAGTATTACACCATGAAATCCATAGTTTTAATATTGTTATAGTACTTCTGCTGTGAATGCCAAACATTCTATTTTGTATTAAGTATAAGCTGAAATGAACACATTAGATAAAAGATATTTCTAGCCAAGAAAAAAAATTGCACACTATGATTACCAAATAATTTTTGTTGGGTGGTGGTGGGAACTGAACCCGGGGTCTTGTCCATTCTAGCCAAGCACGGTACTACTGAGCTACGTCCTCTGCCTGAAAAGAATTTTTAACAACATGCTTAAAAAATTGTTATAAAAAGTTTCGGTAAGCATGACTATTACAACCCACTTGTGAACGCTTCTAAAACCACCGAGTTTGGTGACCGTTCCTACTTCACCATATTCTAAAGTAGTAATATATTTTATCAGATTAACAAGTTTAGTTTTGTTTTGGTTTCATATTTTTAAGAATTAAAAAAACAACCCATACTATTCTGTGTGTCCATGATCCGTGTTCTCTGGGGGCATGCCAGTGTGCACATGGAGGCCAGAGATGCTCCTGTGGACGTGGCTCTCCCCTTCCACATCCATGTACATTCCAGGGGCTGAACTCGGGTTGTCAGTCTTGTTCAGAAGTGCCCGACAATGCCTACTTGTTATCTCCACAGCGCTTAAAACAGTATCTTTTTAAAGTAATGTTGCTACTTGACTACACACGATTTCTTTTTACATGTCTAGTCTAGCATCTTACTCTGCTAGACAGTGATGTAAACAGAAGAGGTATTTTTAACCTCCATTTTACAATGAGTTTAATCCAATCACTTGGGCAAGAGAGAAAAAATAGCAGTAATTTTATTTCTTATATTTATACCAAAGACTACTGAAGATTATAGAAACAAAACAGATAAAGCAGTAGCTTCCTCAAGAAAAAACAAGGAATTGATGGTTGATAATTAGTGAATGGTAGCTGAAAACCACACCAGTGATAAACTTGAGTGACAGATACATGTTCTGAAAGTTTCACATACACTATACATACCAAATTACCTTCCAATACCTATGTTTATATCTGAAAAGGTTTCTAGATTAATTTAGCTATGTAGAGGAATATTATTTTAAGGTGTGTGATTTTGTTTATGCTGCATTTGCTATCCCTGTGAACTGTGATTCTTTGCCTGTCTAAAACACCTGATGGTCTAATAAAGAGCTGACCAGCCAATAGCAAGGCGGGAACAAGCATAGGTGGAGCTGGCAGACAGAGAATAAATTAAAGGAGAAATGGGGGAGAACAGGAGAGGAGGACATCAGGGGCCAGCCCCCCAGCCAGCCACATGTCAAGAGTGAAAGTAAGAGATATAGAAGAAAAGGGAAAAGCCCAGAGGCAAAATGTAGATGGGATAATTTAAGAAAGGCTGGCAAGTAACAAGCCAAGCTATGGCCATTCATAAATAAATGAATAAGTCTCCATGTGTGTGTGATTTATTTGGGAGCTGGGTGGTAGCCCCCCCCAAAAGTCAAAAGAGTAAAACATCACACAATATATCTATATATGAAATTCTTTAGAATCTCATTCTAAAGGAAATTAAGCTATATTTCCTAATGACACCTTTTTAAAAGTAAAAATAAATAAATAAAAAGTTTACCTCATTAAACAATCAAACAACAGCCTCCAAAGGGCAGTATTTAAACTTTTCCTTCATTGAAAACCACAAAACAAGGTACTTACTTACTGAAAACAGGTATTACTATGACATTTTTAAAAAGTGACTCCATGCTGACATAAAAAATATGATCCAATTCTTCTAAATAAAAACATTTAAAAATAAGTTTTAACAAATTCCTTATTTAAGAAATATAAATATTGCAAGTGGGAAAAAAGGAATATAGATATGTAGATGCATCTATCTAAACTTACATATTTACAAATAGTTTTCTCTGGAATTTTCCTTTGAGAAGCAATGCCATACAAGCTCTACGTGTAGCTCTGGGTCTGACTCCTAGCGTCTCACAGAACTGGGTGGGAATGGTGGCAGGTGCGGCCGTAGTGCAATCTGATTCTAGCACTGGGAGGTGGAGGCAGAAGAACTGGAAGTTCAAGGCCATTCTCAGCTACTAGTGAGTTCTAGGCTAGTCTGAAATACATGAACCCATCTCAAAATAACAAAATAAAAATCTGTTCTGTAGACAGTCATGATCTCTACAGAAAAACCCACTATAGCTATTTTATATCAGATCTAAATTTACAAGATTAAAAAAAAGGATTTATATATTTTATGTATATGGTCAGGTCCCATGACAGATGACTGTGAGCCGCATGTGGTTGCTGGAAGAGCAACTAGTGCTCTATCTGTTGAGCCTTCTCTCCGGCCCTATAAGATGTCTTATCTGCCTGCCAATTAAAAACTTGCTAGATGAGAAATTTTGTGACATTATTTTGTGTTCCCCTCCTTTGGATTTTTGTAGGCTTCCTACAGCTCTGACCAACAGAGTACTGTCAAAATGGTAAGTTTTAATTCATTTTAAATATAAAATTTTTTCCTTTGTTTTTTTTTGAGACAGAATTTCTCTGTGTGTACCTTTAAATATAAATTTTTAAAGATTCATTTTGTTTTTATGTTTTTAGTTTTATTTATGAGTATGGGTGTTATGCCTGGTACCCTGGGAGGATGGAAGAGAGTGTCAGATTCTCTGGAACTGGAGTTACAGATGGCTGTGAGCTGCCATACAGGTGCTAGGAATCAAATCCATGTACTCTTAAAAAGCAGCCAGTACTCTTAGCCATTGAATCATCTCTAATCCCCAAGATTAATTTTATTTATGTATATGTGTATGTGTGTGTGTGTTTGCCACATGCATGCAGGTACCCTTAAAGTCTAGCAGAAGTGTAACAGTCCCTGAAGGTGTACTTACAGGAGGAAGTGAGCTCCCTGATATGAGATCTGGGCCTAGTTTGTGACTTTCAAGCCTAGGGGCTCTGTACACTCACGCGCGCGCGCACACACGCACACACACACACACACACACACACGCACACACGCACACACACACACGCTTTGTTTGCAGGAATACTTGTGCCTAGAGCTACACACACCTGATAGTAACTTGAGGTTGTCATATGTGAGACCCAGATCATTAAAAGGAAGCCACATAAAGAAACTTCCATCGTATCATTTAAGACATCTGAGTTGTTGCTTCATACAACTTGAGTTTTGTGATTTGTTATCAGAGCAGCAGGTACCACTACAATATCTAGTACAAGGAAATGAAATTCTACTATGACAAGCCCAAAGTTCATGGCTCGAGGTATGAAACCTGATGGCAGTTAAGAGCTAGAGGAGCCTGGAGAAAGATGTTACTAGGGGCTGGAGAGGCGGCTCTGTGTTTCAGAGCACTTGCTGCTTTTGCAGGATGCGTCTGGTTATCAGCTGTGGGCTCACAACTATCTGTAACTCCAGTTCTAGGGGATCCAAGCTCCTCTTCTGGACTCCTATGAGATTTGCAAGCACATGTTGCACGCACACATCTACTTACATTCATAAAATGAATCTAAAAAACAAAAGAACTGACCGATTGTTTAGCAGCACTGTTATGGGGACAAGGAAGATGGGAAAAATTCCTACTGGTGGATTTGGGCTAAGATATTCAAGCAGGACATTGAAAATACAATGGCTTACATTATCCATATAAGACAGGATAGACAAATACAATCTAAAACCAGGAATTGATCAGTTTTCAAAGAAAATACAGAAGTGATCTAAGAGCCAGGACTTACAGGGTTCAGAATAAAACAATTACTCATCCCTTATCTCCCCCAATAGAAGAAGCTCAAGGTACCCAAAGTTTACTCATTGAACCACACCTCTGGAATCTTGCCTGGACCTGGACTGCTGGAAAAGGGAATGCATTTTATATATGGGAGAAACAAGTAGTAGTAGAGATTTTGAAGCTATTTCTATAATTTGACATTTATCTCATTAACAGGTAGGTCTAGGTTGATGATGCCTCTCAGAAGGTAAGGGTGCTTGTCTAGGGTGCCTGAAACCCTGGTTTCATGGTTAGCACCACATAATACTTTGGCATGGTAGTATATGCTTGTGATCCTAGCTCTGAGGAGGCAGAGGGCAGACAGACAGTCTAGGCCATCCTCAGTTACAGCCTGGGTTACATGAGACCGTATCTTAAGAAACAAAAACAAAAAAGGCAGGGTCTATGTCCCACCACTTTAAGTTTGGGAGGCTTATAACCATTTCTACCAACACAAGGTATAGTGGTCCATGCTTATAATCCCACAACTGGGCGGCAGAAACAGGAGGATCACTACAAGTTCAAAGCTAGCCTCGATCTATATAGCAAGTTTTAGGCTGGTCAAGTCTCAAACTAAGACTGTATCTAAAAGAAACCAAGCAAACATAAAGGGATGCTACATGACTCTAGAAGCTAAGACATAAATAGTTTTGAGACTTATGTATTATTTTCTGGAACACTCTGCTTGGAATCCTGAGTACCAAGAAGTCTAAGTATCGTGAGGCCACCATCTTTGAAGAAGCTAGGCCTCTATGAGGAGACCTAGCCACAGAGAGACTATGACTGAGTTCTTGTGTTTGGTTCAAGTCCAGGTACCTGGTGTGGGTAAACAAGCACTTAGGCAATTCTGTCCCAAGGCCCAGTCACCCCTACTCTTCAGTCTCTCTATCCTACAAGAATTGGGGTAATCTCTTCAGTAGCAATACTTACTGCTTCTTTTCTTTTCTTACATTAAAACAAATGTATACCAGAGCCAGTACCTGTGAATCAAGGGCAGCCCACATACACAGTTACACTTTTAAAATACTATTTCTGTTTATTCAGTCTGATTTTGAGTCCTCCTTGGTAGCTTATTGTCCAGTTGTTTTGCTATATATATATATATGTGTGTGTGTGTATATATACACACATATATAAATATATAGATATATTTATACATATAACTTGCTAGTATCATATGTACATATTACCATATCATATATAGTAATATGTACTCTTAGTGTACATGGCTTATGTATTAATATAAACACCCCCTCTGTCCCCTTCAGCACCTTTTACAACTTGAAATCTATTTTTATACTAATAGGGCTGATGCTTCTATTTCCTCTTTTTAAAGGAGACATACCTGACATCTCTTCCAAACTTCTTTTTTCATTCTTCCTATTACTATTAAATGCCTTTTGGGTTGAATTTTTGTTGATTTATTCTCTTCCAGTATAACTGGTATTTATGGAGTATTACAGTTACTATAACAGACAGTATCTAAAGAATTAGTGTTTTCCCTTTTTGACTGTAGCAAAACAGAAAAAGTCCAAAATTTATCAGGTTATATTTAGATGTACTCTTTGTTCAGTGATAGCACAACTCATTCTCTATAATGCTGTACGTTGGAAAACTAGAACTTATAATCATAAAAAAGTGAAAAAACAAACAAACAAACAAACAAAACCAAACCCTCAGTCTTTGTCCCCTTTGTCTAGACCCTGGAAATGACAATTCTGTCTCCCTGACGTTGACTAGGCTAAAAGGAATCACAAGAATTGTCTGTGCGAGTACGTATGTGCTCATGCATCTGCAGGGGTGCGTGTTCATGTGCACTGCGGGCTCATTTATTAGGAGCTGCCCACAGTGGTTTTTTGAGACAGGCTCTCTCGCTGAGGCCTGGAGCTCACTGATTTAGGGTAGGCTGGCTGGCCAGTGAGTCCCAGGGCACTCTTGTTTCTCTCCCCCGTGCTGACTGTTCCACAGAGCACCATGCCCGCCTTTCTAAATGGCTGGGAGATCTGGAGCTCAGGCCTGGCTCAGCGAGGGCTTTATAGAACTGCCGGCCTGCAGCAGTTCACCTAAGCTTTCGCTTGTTCCAGCCTCCCCCACAGTGCAGCACAGACCAGATAATGCTTCCTTTTCAAGACTGATTAATATTCCTCGTTTCATTTTTTAACACAACCCCAATGTCTTCTAAGTTACAATCTTTTACTTATATTGTTCAGCCTCCCTTCCTACAGTTTTTAAGTACAGCCCCATTTTTTCTTTTTTAAAAGAGTAAGTTAAAAATATTTTCTCAAAGATTTTCTCCAAACTTCAGAATATAACGACTACTACAGTAGTAATTTCTAGTTCCAGGTTTTTTTTTTTTTTTTTTTTTAGGAGTTCTTAAACTTTTTTGTTTTGGATCCTAAAGGTTGAGGCATCCAAATACCTCCATGGGTTAATATCTACCAATATTTAATATGTAAAAACTCAATAGAACAAAAAAAAAAAACAAAACTAAAGATATTTACCCATCCCCCTGTCAGTAACAATAAACTAATTAAATGTCAACATAATATTTCTATTAAAAAATAAAAGGGTATGTAAGATGGCACAAAAGATAAAGGCCCTTGATGCTGAGCCTGAAAAACTGGGTTTGGTCCACTGGACCCACATAGTAGGAGTGAACTGACTCCCACAAATTGTCCTCCGACCTATACACACATACTCTGGCACATCTGTGCCCCTATACATACACATGCTGGTACACACATACTAACAGCTGTACCCATTTTAAATGCCTAGCTTACGACAGACGCTGGCTTCTCCCTGCTGCCTCTGCACTGTGTGCTGTCTCTGTCCTGCAGCCCCTCAAAGAGAATGCATAAAGCCAAGGCAAGGTTCCTTTTATTAGTTACAATAGTTTTGTCCTCATAGATATCTAAAAAATCATTAGCTGGGCTGGAGAGATGGCTCAAAGGTTAAGAGCACTGACTGTTCTTCCAGAGGTCCTGAGTTCAATTCCCAGCAACCACATGGTGGCTCACAACCATCTGTAATGAGATCTGGTGCCCTCTTCTGGCATGCAAGCATACATGGAAGGAATGTTGTATACATAATAAATAAATCTTTAAAAAAAAATCATTAGCCTTGCTTAAAAATGAATCAATTATCAGTAATAGAGTTATCATAATGATGAAGGCCCTCTGTTGCCTTCAGTTTTTCTCAAATGCTTGGTAATACAAGGTAATGTGTTTGAGGTTTTCACAACGCCAATCTGCCCGTAACAAAGAGATGAAACTGTACTGCCAGGCAAGGCGTGCTGGAAGTTGATCGCATCAGAATAGGCCTCCTCTCTCATGGACAGCAATGGGTCTGTAGAGCATTTCCTTTAATCCCCTCCATAATACCCACACAGATACCTTAGTGAAAGAAAAACTGTAACTGGTTTCTTCACTATCAATGCTTCCTTAGTCTCAATTCTTCCTCTTATAATTTCCTTCTCAAAAGTAGAGATAAAATTTAAAGTTATATATTTATAAAATGTTTTTACTTTGCCCTTTCAGAGTCCTTCAAAAGTGATCCAATTTTATATACATGAAGTATGAAATGTATCTTTAATCCAGTTCATTCAGCTCCTTAAATGTTTACCAAACATATCAGACTCATGATATAATCTTGTATCAAAATGTGTTTAATGCTCCATTTTCTAAGTCCCTCAATGCTTAGTCAAGAATTTCTATTCCAAGGTTAAATATCTAATTCCAACACAGTATTTGGACATTGTGAGGAATGGGACTTCCCCAAGTCAACCTCCTTATAGAGCTGAAATTGTACTAATCTCTCAAGGTGTGTTAAAATTATGTTTCTAGTACCAGGCCACACTGATCTATTAGTTTTCGGTGAACACAACTCTCAGTCTAGACTGGACTCTTGCAATTATATCAAGTACCACAACCTATAAAGAGTTACTGTTTAGTTCATGAAAATGTCAATAACACCAAAGCCTAAAGCTTTGTGCTTCAGTTCCCAGAATCTCATCTACTTCACTAAGTGCCCAATTCAATACTGTTTCACCATTCCACTAACTACACTGAGATATTTGCTTATACCCTTTTATTAATCTTTATTAATATCTATTTATATTCAGTAAGCAACAATCTTACAAACCACTATTTTACACTGTTTACTACATGGCAATTTGTGAAATTTTTTTACTCAAAACTCATTACAGGAAATGGTAAGTTCTTCTCTTGAAAATGTTTACATTGGGAGGACACAGTGTGCTGAACTCCAGCCTCAGCTGTTTGCTGTCAGGATCATGTTCTACTAGAAGATTTTAAACACGTTCTGCATTGGCGTGATCATCTTTCCTACATTAAGGGGATTGATCTTGCAAGCAGTGAACACTATGGAACAAACAGACGAGTCAAAGCAGCCTAGAAAAGCCCGTCTGGGGAATGTGAAAGTGATGGAGTGTAAGATGAACAAAGAAAGGCACAAGTGGGGATCAACTGTATCAAACCCAAGGTTTAGGTGCATGGTGGAAAATACAGAAAAGTTTCGAGGATCTGAAAAGCTTCATGCTGTAAACTGAGCATGAATAATAATTTTGGAAAACTAAAGATGTAGCTTATACAACTGAAGAATAGTTTGCAATGTTTTACTATAAAGACTTCCCTGGAGGACTATTATTCATGGAGTCCACCAGTAAATATGCTACTTAGCAAAATGTCCCCGTTGTTCCTCTGCCTTTGTTACAAGACTTTAACTCCAGCTCTCAGAATTCAGAAGTAGCTCATGGCCAGCCTAGGCTATACAGACCCTGTCACAACAACTAAAGGCCAGAAGAGCTACTGCAAGTTTCTTACAGCAGGGCTTGCCACTATACAGCGAAAAACTGGATCTTGCTTCTACATTTCATACTGAAAATTTTCCACGGTATTTTAATTGTAATTGTGGAAAGTGCTCAGGAATTGCGGGATGGTAATCATTGTTCTTACTTAAAAACTAGGTATATATAGATTCTTAGCATCCAGCTAAGTTTTAGAATAAGTTTAGATGGTAAGAAGGATGCTGTATCTATTTTTTCAGGGTTCTTTATTTTTGTATGTATGGGTGTTTGCCCACAATGTATGTACATGCACCACGTATATGCAGTTCCTAACAAGGCCAGAAGAGGGTGTTGGATCTCCTGGAATTGTAGATAGAGATGGTTATAAACAGATGATCATGGGTGTGTTGGGAACCAAACCTAGGTCCCCTGGCAAGAGCAGCAAGTGCTCTTAATCACTGAGCCACCTCTCCAGCTCTTGTTAATCACTGTTTCTGTTGTCACACACATCATAGTATGCGTGGAGAAAACAGATAGGAACTATGATCCTCCAGGAAGTAGAAATGCAATCAGCACTGGCAGGGTTAATTGTTTAGCTGTCTGGGTTCTACTTTTACCATATGCATTTGAATGAGAGTCTAGGGTGATCTATACACACCCTGAAGTCCGAGGAACTGCAGTGAACAAACCTAATTGCCCCAATTTGCACCTCTCTCTTTCTACCTTCCTCCATAATAGACCTTGGGCCTTCCAGTTGCCTGCCTGAACTCCAGCAGGAGTGTGATTGGCTTTGGGTACCTTTCCCCTGGTCAATGACTGGTTCAGGAATGAAGAGTATAACTAAGTCAATTTGTGAAAACAGAACTAAGTGCGCATTGTCTGGAGATCCTTCTTTAAAAGATTCTTGCACTCCGAGAGCTAGAGCAAGTGTTTCTCTGGACACCACCATGTCTGAAGGTGAATGGTGTAAACCAGGGCAGATGCTTACTGCTAGCTCAAGAATAAAGACAGAACTGCCTCAGAAGAGTGGTAGCATTCTGAGTTTGAGAGGAATTGAAAACTAGTCCAAATTTCTGGACCTAATTGATTATCTTTGCAACTGTCTGACAATTCAAATAATATTCAAAGTGTTTTATAACATAATAGAATATATCTGGCAAGTTATTAAAATGTCAATCATTTCAAAGACATTGACTACAAAAATCCATGCACATTTATAGCATATATATGTTTAGTTTCTAATATTCAAACTTAATATACAGAATTTCAAAAATTACCTTTCAGCAGATGATTAAGGTCCATGGTGTCATGTAAGACTTTCTGTTTGGATCTATGGTCTAGATTTGCATCTAACACTGATGATTTTGGAGCAAAATTCTGCCCTTGCTTTTCTTTCCTTCTGGCTGATTTCAGAGGTCTTGGCTCATGTTTTAAAGCCTCCACATCCTCATATACATCCCGGCTCACATTTTCTTGCCTTTTAACTTTTACTTTCTGATCATGTGACGTGCCCAGTTCAAACGACTGGATAGGGCTGATGTCTGGCGTTGACAAAGGAGTTGCGTCTGTTACAGCATCCTCTGGTTCCTCATTGTAGTTACTAGCTGTTGGGTTAGCACTTGCAGGCTGTGTACTCTCTGATTTTCTTCCTGGTTTACAACTCTGTTTTGGTGACGAGAGGGTTACACCAGAAGCATGTTTCCTTGATGAGGAGCGTGAATCAGATTTATGGGTATCGGATCCTGTATCTGAGCAGTCTGAACTTGACCTTGAAGATGAGGAAGACAAAGAAGAGGAGGAACTGATTTTGGAACACTTTTTATTTGCGTTTTTTTTGAAATTGTTGGAGGGCTTAGCTGACTTGGCCCTCACATGGAATTTTTTCCCATCGTCGCTGCTTTCCTCTCCATCTGTGTAGTAATCGTCCTCACCTTTTACAATTTTAGGAATTCTATTTGCAACAGACAAGTGTAATTTATGTCCTTTTGCATCACACAATTTTTTTGATCTTGAAGAAGCGGTCGACAATGAGGAACTTCTTGATTGTGTAGGATCATTTTCTACATGGTATTCCTTTGAGGAAACTTTTGCTTTTCTTTCATTTCCTTTCTGAGTAAGGTAATTTTCCTTTGTTTTGATTCCAAGTTCCAAGTTCACATTTTCGGTATCATTATCTATTCTCTCTTTAAGGTCATCATCTTGTATTTCAAATTTCAAGTTTACATTTTTGGTGTCCTTATCTATTCTTTCCTTAAGGTCATCATTTTGCTTGTCAAAAACTAAATTACTGTCACACTTTTTTACATCCTCAAAATCACTGTCAAAGAAAGAATGGTCCACTTCACCTTCTGATATATCTCCATATCGATCCATGATGTCAAAAGTATATCTGAAAAGAAACGTTCAACCATCAGACCGGAGTAATTTCTAAATATGTTTTATTTTTATTTTCCAAAATGAGAAATGTTGGCAGTACAAAAAGAGAACTATCGGCTAGGCAGTGGTGGTGCACATCTTTAATTCCAGCACTTAGGAGGCAGAGGCAGACAGATCTCTGTGAGTTCAAGGCCAGCCCAGTTACAGGACAGCCAAGGCTACACAAAGACATCCTGTCTCAAAAAGTCTCCATCGAGAAAGAGAGAGAACTATTAAAAATAAAAGAAGTTTGTGAGGTCATTATGGGGTCCTTGGGATTATACCAATAGTCTCAGAGCTCACAAGAAAACAAGAGATCATCGGGGAAGGCATATCACAAACAGCAGTATCTTAGCCCAAATGAAACCTCCCTTCTGCACAGTATAAATTAGAGTTTAAATGAGGAAAGACGGGCTTTTAGCCATTTATTTTGTCACTAGGACAAAACACCAAAACAAAACAACTCAAGGGACGATTTATTTTAGCTCATGATTTGCTCCTCCATGGAGCCAAGAAGCAGAGCAAAGGTACACGATAGGCCCTCCCTTGACACCCCCAGTCAGTCATCCACTTACTCTCATCAGGCGTCATCCTTCAATGTCCACCACCAACCCAAAGAATCCATCGTTAGGGAAAAGCCCTGCTGATGAACTGTCCCTGGACGTGGCCTCACAGACACACTCAGGTGTGCTTTGTTAATCTCTCCCAGGCATCTCTCAATCAAATCACACTGCTAATCACGGTTAATCATCATAGTTGATATTAGCATCAGCTAAGCCACTTCAATCACCAATTAATCTGATGGTAATAATGTGAATAAATCAGTGAGCTTCAGCATTTTACTACTTGCTGATCACCCTATTCTGTTCTCTTATTGCAGATATTGAAGACGAAGCACACAGAGCTGTGACTTCTATTAAATTCTCTACTCCCCCCCTCTTCTCATTGAGCAACAGAAATCCCCAAGATACAAAAACAGGCTGTTCAGGTGGCTTCCAAATAAATTTCTGAGTATTTGATCACAAGCTATAATGTAATGCAGGAAATACCACCACAGACTATACATGACTCACTGCATCAAAGGGGGTCTGCTATGAGACACTTTGCAGCTGTTGGTCATCTGTCTAAGATCAAAAAACACATGAAATTCAACATCAGAGGAAATAAATTAACTTCTGAATAGACATTGTTTGTATGGAGTAAGGACACTGTTGTTACTTAAATTACTGGATGTATAGGTTTATGCACATAAACAATGATTTTAAAAGTTCAGGTAAAATATCCTACTACCCCAACCCAATCAGACTAAACTGAAAAGATTACTATAAAGCTATAGTCTTTACAAAGTATTTCTTCACTCTGTTATCATGGTGACCTAAAAGCAGTATCACGTTATTAGTGATAATCTTAGTTTAGTCTTTAGTTTCCAATCCCACCCTCCATTAAAAACCTAAAAGGAAGAAGTTGGAGAGTCAATTCAATGAATAAGAGCACTTAGTGCTCTTTCAGAGGACCCAGAGTCTCAGAACCCACATGATGGTTGTAATTCTAGTACAGGGAGATCCATATCCTCTTCTGGCCTCCACACTAGGCATACACATGGTGCACACACATGCCTTCAATCAAAATACCCAGTCACACACACACAAATAACAAGACAAAGAGTCCCTGGCAGCTGATGTTATTACTGGAAGCAAGAATCAGCATCTTACCGTAGCCTTTGAACTGCTAGCATAGTAATCAGATAAGCCTTAGTAATGGTAATGAAACCAAGGAGACAGTTAGTTTGCTCTTGTGAAAGAATACTTAACACGAGGCAGCTTAAGGGAGGTTGGTTCGTGATCCAACACAAAAAGGGAGAATGCAAAGCGGAGCTGCACATCTCATGGTAGAGAGAAAGCAAAGAGGCGGCAGCTGTAGGCTCTCCCCTCTCGCATTCCATTGTGGTCAATCCTTTAAGCCAGTGGGATGCTACTACCCACATGCATGATGATCCCCCCCCAAACACCTCCAGAATGTCCTCACAATTACATTCCGAGGTATTTTTTAAAACTAGTCTAGGCACTTATCAACTCAATTAAATTGATCAGTTCAACCATCTCAAATTTTAAAAGCGCTGACATATATATATGAAAAATTCAGCAGGAACTCTTAAGCCCACAATAAAATTAAAAAAATGGACAAATAAGTGTTATATTGAAAAACAGACATACAAACGTTTCGATTATTAATAAGGAGCCAACCAGGCAAGCATGTACACATTTAAATTATAATTAATTCCAGCACAGTAAATTGGGCACGAGAAGATTATGTAGTATGTATCTACAGAAGCCAGGACACACTGAATAACTTATATTTACTACTGCGTGGCCCTACAGCCCAAGGAAAGACACGAAATAAAGAATGGAAACCAGGTAGTGGCACATGTGGTGCATGTCTTTAATCCAAGCACTTGAGAGGCAGAGGCAGGTAGATCTCTGTGAGTTCAAGGCCAGCCTGGTCTACAAAGTGAATTCCAGGACAGCCACAGAGAAACAACAAAAAAGTTTGAAAATAATTTAAGAAGTAATAAAATTTCTATCATTAACAATGTCAAAGTAAGTATGTGTATTCACACATTTTATCAGAAGAGTAACTTCTCCTGTTTAGAAGTCTTCTTATATATTAGAAATAAATTTTGTTTTTTGCTTTGTTGAGGCACAGTCTCACTCTGTGGCCTTGCCTGGTTTGGAACTTGCTATGTGGACCAGGCTGGTCTCAAACTCAGAGACTAGTTTACTTCGGCCTCAGGAAAAAGGGATTAAAGGCATGTGCAACCATGCCCAGATAGTCATAAATTTTAATTCATTTACTTATTTACAATTTGCAGTGTTGAGGATTAAACATGTCTTAGACATGCTAGATAAGTTCTCTGTCACTGAGCTACACTTCCTGCCCTTCCTTGTAAAATGTTGACTGTAACCTATGTTTAAATGCTTTAGAGAATCTGATTGTTAAATCCGTAATTTTTAAATATTTCATCTTTTTTCTTTTTTTAAAAGATTTAATTTATTTATTTATTTATTATTTCATGAACTATTTAGATCCCAGGCCAGCAAACTACTACTCAGGACCAACTCTGGCTTGTTATATTTATGCAGACGGTTTTACTGGAACACAGTTCTAGTCATGGGTTTATGTACTGCCTCAGACAGCTTTCCCATTACAACTGGGAGACTCAACATTTACTACGTAATTTACTTGCAAAGTTTGTAGAACTGATAGTATGTATATATATATATATATATATGAAAAATACATATATAGTTACCTGTAGTTAGTATATATAATTGAAAAAATACATATACAGTTACCTGTACTGGAAGAATAACATGTACATATTTTAAATACAAAGTTGAGGAGACAAATCATAAGTTGACCTGCTAGAAAAGACTCCACTGGATTTTTAACATTTCCCACTGCTATAATGACTACAGTGTAGGTACAATAATAAGAGGAAATATGCTTAGTGTGTGAAAAAGGATAAACTGAGTCAGGCATGCCCAGGCTTAAAGCTTTGTTATGGGATATTTGTTCGCACTGACAATCCAAAACTGCTAATAAAGTTAAACCTTGAATCACGGGCGGAGTCTACAACTGGCTGACTAGAATTACCATAGAGATTTTGGAGGGTAAATAGAGAGGTACAGGGAGAGATGAGAGGTTTCCTTCATAGGAAACTTCTGCATAGCCTTGAAATTGGCTATCATCTGGTGGTCCTTCTTGTACAGTAACAGGATAAACTAAGGCTGGTTTTCTAATAACCTTGGGCCCCTCCTCTTCAGTTTCATCTTGCAATGGTGTGGTTGTGGTGATGTTTTGTTTGTAATCTAACAAATCAAGCTTGCCCGAAGATCAGAGTGCAGAGCTAGCCACCAGTTATCTATAGAGGCCAGGCAGTGGCACACACCTTTACCCAGGCACCGGGGAGGTGGATCTCCTCTTGTGAGTTCAAGGCCACCTTGGGCTACCTGAGATTGGTCCCGTCTTTTTAAAAGAGAAACAGAGCCAGGCAGTGATGAACTTTAATCCCAGTTCTTGGGAGTCACAGGTCTTTAATCCCAGTGCTGGGAAGGTGGAGACAGGAAGGGATGTGGCTGGGCAGAGAGAGCAATAGAAGGCAGGAGACTGGAGCGCATTTCATTCAGTCTGAAGATCTGTAGACGGGATTTTGTGGCGGTAAGAACTCTAGTGGCTGGCTTCTTCTCTGATCTTTCAGCCTTTACCCCGATATCTGACTCCGGGTTTTTCTTATTAAGATCAATGAGAAATCATGCTACTTAGGTTCTGCTCTAAAATTCCTCTGTGTGAACAGCACCTGAAGTTGTCCTTTGGGCCTCTACACACAAGCTGGCTTTTCCATTAATTTCCAGGGCCCAACAGCAGAACGAGAAGATAACAAAAGATCTGTCAAAAACTTTGCCTACGGTAGTCTCCTTATCATGCCAACTACCAGTGAGGCTGAATTAAGAGATAGCTTGAGCTCTGGCGCTAGAGACCAATGGCCCCGAAACATGGAGAGAAGAGGGGATGGGATGAGGTGGAGGTGGTACCGTTCTTACCAGACCAGGAGTTCCTGATGTCTTGTTCACCTTTACATCCCCAATGTCTAAAAAAGATCTAAAAAAATTAGGTAATTTAGAGAATGTCTATCCCACAAAGGAGTCTAGCGACTTAAGACTCAGCCCAGGTTCTTGCTCCTTGCTTCCTATGCATAGCAAATCAAACCACCAGCTTTTTAGCTTACTTGATAATTTTCTTGTTAAGAGGTGACCCACTTCCTAGTGCACGTGATATTTCTGAGGTGGTGTTTACACTGCCTTTCTGGTAAGAGCAGCCGGTGACTTGATTTAACTTCCAGGAAAACTTATCTGACAGTCTCACCTGTTAGCAGTTCTTTTTTTTTTTAATAGATTTTTTTTCTTTTTTTTATGTTTTTTTAATTTATTTATTTATTTATTTATTAAATATTTCTGTCTCTTCCCCACCTCCGCCTCCCCTTTCCCCCCCCCTCCCCCAATCAAGGCCCCCTCCCTCATCAGCCCAAAGAGCAATCAGGGCTCTCCGTCCCGTGGGAAGTCCAAGGAAAACCCTCCTCCGTCCAGGTCTCGTAAGGTGAGCATCCAAACATCCTAGGCTCCCACAAAGCCAATACATGCAGTAGGATCAAAAACTCATTGCCATTGTTCTTGATGTCTCAGTAGTCCTCATTGTCCGCTATGTTCAGTGAGACCTGTTTTAACCCAGGCTTTTTCAGAACTGTTAGCAGTTCTTCTGCTAAAATTTACATCAAAGTTGCTGCAATTCAGTTTACAATGATGGTTTTACAGGATAGTTAAGATTATTTTACAACACACCAGGAAAGTTCGTCAGACCATAATAACCCTCTGGTGTATCCGTACAGCTTCGGTCAAAACTACCTGCACGTTTCTTGGACACTGACGTAAACTCACATAGAGCTAGCAATAGAAACAATGCTTTCACTGGATCTGTGAGTTAGAGGCCAGCCTAGTCCACAGCGCTAGCTCCAGAACAGCTAGGGCTGTTATGCATAAAAATCCTGTCTCAAAAATCAAACAAACAAACAAAAAGAAAAGAAACAGTGCTTCTACAATACACCAGAAAGAATTCATAAATAACCTGGAATTAAAAATGTCATTTTGCACATTTGGGATAGTCCTCATCTGTTGAGATATATATTACAGGGCCCTAATTTGGGTTTGCAAAAACCTTGGCCCAAACTGTATACCTGTTTTTCAGGAATTTGAGGCTTTGTCCACGACCCCATTAAGTACCCTCTCCAGACTCTGGGACGTAGAAGTCAAAAGTCCCACAGAGGGGCAGCAGTGGCCACAGCTGAGGGGGGCTCGGACCCCGCCTCCACGCCACCTCCCGCGTCCGGCGGGCCGGGCTACCGTTTCCACGGGAGGAGGGCTGGTGCCCCCGCCCGCCGTTCCTGTAGCGGCTACCCTGCCGCCCGCGGGGCTGGCGAGGCCTGGGTGGCGGCGCCGAGTGCTGAGGACAGCCTGCGACCTCCCGCGGAGGCGCGGTGGTACCCACCCCGGGTGCTCGCCTCCGTCGGGCCGGGCTCCGAACCGGGGAAACGGACCCCGATCGCTGGGGAGAGACGGTAGCCCGCCCGCTGCGGACCGACCGGATGCGGAAGCCCGCGAGCCGCTCACCTGGGAACTGCGACCGCTACGGACTCTCGCGCCAAGTCGGGCGTTCCGGTCCTCGCTTGCCCTGCGCACGCGCAGCCACGCCTCCACCGTTCTCCCTCCTCGGCGCCTGAACCTAACCGAAGTGCGCGCGTGCGTGAGCGCCGGGCGGGAGCTTCCGGGGACCGAGTGAGCGGAAGAGGAAAGGCGGGGAGGTCCGGGAGCCGAGTCTCTGCTGAAGAGGGTCCCGGCCTCGCTCCAGGCATCGGTAGATCCCGGAGACCTCGTCACAGAGATCAGGCCCTCGCAGCAGGAGCAGCAGCTTCTCGGCGGGGCCTCGCGAGGACTGGCACGCGTGTGGTGGGAAGAAGCCAACCAAGGCTTCTCGTCTGTCCAGGGCATCATCGGTTCGCTTACCCACGACACAGCGGTAGGTCTAAGCATCCGGACGATTTCCTACAAAGAATCGCTGTAATCTTGCACTTCTGTAACAAGACGACAATAATAAAAGTAGAGGGCGACTGTGTCTTTGTGGTATTTTATTTCAGCAAAGCTCTGTTCACACAAACCAGTCGTGGTGGCGCATGCCTTTAATCTCAGGAGAAATGGGAAAGGAATCAAGGCCAGCCTGGACAACCTAGCGACTTCCAGGTCAGCCAGGGCTATATCGTGAGACCAGTGTCAAAGAAAAAAAAATAATACAGTTCAAGCAAAGTTAATGTGCACCAGGGGCGGACAACCTAAGAATGGAGTCTGGCAGTGGTGGCGCATGCCTTTAATCCCAGCACTTGGGAGGAGGCAGAGACAGGAACTCTATATGAGTTCGAGGCCAGCCTGATCTACAAGAGCTAGTTCCGGGACAGGTTCCAAAGGTACAAAGAAACCCTGTCTCAAAACGCCCCCCCCCACCCAAGGAAAAGTAAGGCCCTTTAACTGATGATGGAGGTGCACGTTATGCAATCTAAAAACGTTCTCTACAGACTATTGAGTGCCTTGATTTCTTGTTGTTGAACTTCCATTCTGTTATAGGATTTGTGACATAAAGGAGTTGAGTGATGTGGGGAGGAGTCGGTGAGCCAAGGAATGCACGCAGCTCTGGAAAGCCAAAGAGAAGGAAGAAATGGTTTCTATCCTGAAAGAACTCAAATCTGCCTTGATTTTAGACTTCTGACCTCCACAACCCTAATCCAAAGAAATCTGAGTTGTTTTATACCTCTAACTTTGTAGCAGCTTGTCATGCTCTCAGAGAGCACTTATATGCAACTACAAAAAAAAAAAAAAAAAAAAAAAAACCAACTTAACATACCTAACACAATGAAGAGAAGGTGTTTGCCTCACATTTTGAGAGGCTTCTGCCCTCCACGGCACCGTGGAGCAGTTCCTGTAATTGTGCAGCTCAAGAATCTGCCCTACAGGAAGAGCCTAGGGCAATGTCTAACTCTAGAGACTGTCGTGACCTCCATCCACCTAGGCCCCACCTCCTCTCTTTCAGCACCTGCTGATAATGGCAACATATTATGAATCCATCAAGCATCAGGCCACTGATGAGATCAGAGCCCACCTGATGTCTCTGGACACACCTCACAGACGTACCCTCACAGGCACACCCAGATGCAAGCTCTGATAATTCCCTAGGTGTTTCTAGGCAAATCTGTGCGTCCGTGCGTCACAATCAGAGCCATCACACTCAAGAAAGAACTCTTATTTTGAACAATGAATTTTCATATTTTCTTGGTCCTGATGACTAAGAAAGAGAAACATTTTTTTTCCATTTTGTTGACTAAAAGAAAGGATTTCACTTAATTTTATTTCATGAAGATACTTTGGCACTGATTTACAGGGTAGACACAAAGTATTTGAGCAGCTGTTTCTCCAAAGGAACTATAAATAGCCAACAGCACAGGAAGCGACTTCACTAAGTGTGATGGTTTAGTGAAAAAGGCTTCTATGGGCTCATATTTAAATACTTAAGTCCTGTTGGCAGAACTGTTTGGGAAGGCTTAGGAGGTATGACCTTGTTGGAGATGTGTCCCTAGGGTTGAGCTTTGAGGTCTCAAAAGACTTGCGCTATTTCCCAGTGTGCCTCTCTGCCTCTTGGATCCTGAAAGCGCTCTCAGCTACTCTAGCTGTGCCTCTGCTCAGCCATCATGGACTCTAAACCCTCTGAAACTGGAAACCTAATTAAATGCTTTATTTTATAAGTTGCCTTGGTCATGGTGTTTTGTCACAGCAATAAAAACGTAGTTACATAGACACTATGCATTAAAGGAATGCAAGTCAAAAATCAGTGAAGGCGTAGGAAGTTGCACCTGGTGGGTAGACATACTTTTCGGACGATCAAAAGTAGATCCTATACAATAAAACATCCAGGGGCAAGAAGACGGTTCAGTTGGTAAAAAATATTTCCAAAGCAAACCTGACAGCCTGAATTTGATTTCCAGATTCCACACTGGAAGGACACTGGCTCTTCAAACTGCTCATTAACCTCTACAACTTCACTGTGACACTCCTGTACCCACTCATCGAATATATAAAACAAAACAACTTCACTGTGACACACTGTACCCACACATCAAACATTCAAAACTTCACAGTGACACACCTGTACCCACTCATCAGACATACAAAACAACTTCACAGTGACACACCTGTACCCACACATCAAACATACAAAACTTCACAGTGACACACCTGTACCCACTCATCAGACATACAAAACAGAACTTCGCTATAACACACCTATACCCACACTCACATAAAACAAAACAGACAAGTATATTTTAGTCCCACTAGGACAGTTACAAAAAATACATATTTTGGGGGGCTGGGGAGATGGGTCAGTGGTCAAGAACACTGGCTACTCCTTCAGAGATCCTGAGTTCCAATTCCCACAACACATGGTGGCTTTATGACCATCTATAATGAGATCTGGTGCCCTCTTCTGGCATGCAGGCAGAATACTGTATACATAATAAATCTTAAAAAAAAAAAAAGTAAAAACCAAAATAACAAGATGGCAAAGTGACACTGTCTGTGACAGGTTAGCATTGTGTGTGTGTGTGTGTGTGTGTGTGTGTACACATAAGAATGCTTTGTCTTTAAGATTTATTTTTTGTGTAATAGTCTAAGAATTGGTTCCCTCTGCTATCAGAAACTATAACAAAGCATGTCAGAGCACCTGACCTCTCCCCAGTGCTGTGATTGCTGAGTGTGTTTACAGAGTTGAATTTACAACAGCTGTAGACTTGTCAAAGGAGTGCCAGCTTGCCGCCATGCACTCCAAGTTTTGTTACAGTGTTTTTTGGTATGAAATGGATTGTGTTCTATATATTTGAATGTAAGTGTTCAATTATATATTGCTAAAGTTATAAGATTAAAACTTGATTTTAGATTGTTTTAAAAAAAACAAAAACAAAAAAAAAACAAGATGGCAAAGACTCAAAAAAATTGGTAGCCTTTTGCACAGTTGCTATGGAAAACAGCAGGATAGGAAATTCTATTGCATTTCCTTGAAAATATTAAATAGAATTGTATGATCTAACAATTCCATTTCAGGATATATGCCCAAAAGAATTCAAAGCAGCATCTCAGATATTTGTACCTCCAGATTCATAAACATTATTATTCACAATGCTCAAAATATAGACGGGATATTATCCAACCACAAGAAAGAACGAACCCTAATACATGCTCTGATGTGAAGTTTAAAGATACGATGCTAAATGATATAAGCTAGTCAGAAAGGACCAATGATTCCTTTTCTATGAGGCTTAGTACAGTCAAATCCATGGGAATTAAACAATGAGTGTGGCGGGGCTGTGGGGTGGGGAATGGCAAAGTGTTTGATGGCAGAGTCTACACAGGCTGGCTGATAGGAAGTCTTCTGGACATGGATAGTAGTGAGTCACAATATGAATGTATTTACTACTACACGGTGTGAAAATGGTTATGATGGTGAATTTTCTGTTTTGTGTATTTTACAATGAAAACATCTGGTTTGATAATGATGCAGAGACTCAATCTTTTTATTTTATTTTTTTTTAAGTCTTGGCTCATCACTGGTGTTTGTCCTTCCGGCTGTTGCAACAAGTTTTGTAGAGTGAGTAGCTCCTCTTTCACAGTTTTGGAGGAAGGAAAGTCAGAGGCCACGGTGCCAGCCGATAAGGGTTCTGGTGAAATCTTAACTCCTGGTTCAGAGGTGGCTCCTTCTATATGATCCATCACTTGGTATAAGAGTCAAAGCAGCTGTCTTGGCTTCCTGAGACAGGGTTTCCTGGAAGTCAGGCTGTCTTCAAACTCACCAAGTAGCTGAGGATGGCCTTGAACTCTTGATCCTCCTCTAAGTCTAGGATTACAGGCTTGCCCCACCACCTGGTTCATTTTTTAGTCTTTATATTTTCTGTGTATGGGTGTTTTGCCTGGGTGCAGTGCCTAAGGAAGCCAGAAGGTGCTGGATACCCACAGGCTGGTGTTACAGATGGTTATGAGCTGCTATGTGGGTGGTGGAAATCTCATCCTAGTCCCCTGGAAGAGCAGTCAGAACCAACTCTACAGCCTTCTGCTTTTAAGAGGCTCTAACATCATCCATACAAGTCATGTAAATGCCGAACTATTTTCATAACTATTAGTCACACCTATTAGCCAATCACTGGTGATTAGGTTTCAACATAGGAATTTAGAGGGAAACGTAAACATTCAGACCATAGTGATCAATTTTTCTCTGCCCCCAACAAATACAGAATTCAAAAAGCTTAACTAACCTCTATGCATTTGGGGGTCATAAGTTATCAAATAATCAGCCGAGCAGTGGTGGTGCATGCCTTTAATTCCAGTACTTAGGTGGCAGAGGCAGGAAGATCTCTGTGAGTTTGAAGCTAACCTGGTCAACAGAGCAAGTTCCAGGACAACCAGGACTGTTACACAGAGAAACACTGTCTTGAAAAAAAAAAGTTATTGAATAGTCTTAGCTTGTAACTTGCCAATCACTAATATTAGATATAAAAGTCCAGTTGAATTTACTTTGGGTTTTTGTTTGTTTTTGTTTTGATTTTTCAAGAAAAGGTTTCTCTATATAGCCCTGGCTGTCCTGAAACTCCCTCTGTAGACCCTACTGGCCTCAAAACTCATGGCAATCCACCTGCCTCTGGCTCCTGAGTGCTGTGATTAAAGGTCTCTGCTAGAATGCCTAGCATTTAGTTTTAGGTTTTATAACTTGAAAATTTTAATGTATTAGTAAAAATGAAATCTTTATGGATAGGATCTATTATCAACTTCACAACAAGCAGACATAAATATCAGTTCTCTGTGCCCTCTGATGCTGTCCCACCCAATGGAAGGGAGCAGATTCTAAGGATTCTACATCCCTAGGGCCAGAAATAGGAACTTAATATATTTTTAGTAACAACTAGCCGGATGATCCACCAAAAACTGATTAATGTATTCTGCCAAATAGTGGTAGGTCATTAAAAGGCTAACCAAAGAGCCACGCTTTTAAACACTCATCATAAAGGGCGCAGGGGTGGTGGTGGTGGGATGTCTCCGTGGTTAGAAGCATTTGTCAGAAGACCTGAATTCAGTTCCCAGAACTCACATCTAGTGCTTACAATGGCCTATATCTCCAGCACCCCAGGATCCAAAGTCTCCTAGCCACTTAACGGCACCCCCAAAACATATTCATACAAATATACATGAAACAGGAAATCCCCATGCATACTGCTCCCTGTTTTCTCCTGAGGGCATGAAAGGGGGC